TGAAGGTAGGTGTTTGGATTTTTTTTTTAACATCTTCACTGCTGCTGTAATGTGTGTGTTTATTTTAAAATCCACCTCTGACCCCTCCCCCACACACACACACCCCAAAAGAACCCCTAACCATTCTCTTAAAATTCAGGTAGATCGGGGTTTCTAAAACTTCACTGCACCGTGAGTGACCCCCTTCAGACAACAAAAATTACTACACAACCCCGGGAAGGGGGACTGAAGCCCAAGCCCTGCCGCCCACCCAGGAGGCGGGGGGGAGCCAAAGCCTGAGCCCTCCTGTGGGGAGGGGGAGAAGCTGAAGCTTGAGGGCTTCAGCCCTTGGGGTGGATAGGGGGCTGTAACCTGAGCCCCGACTCCCAGGGCTGAAGCCTTGTTAAGTGGGGGGGAGTGTACTATTTGAAAGGAGGTAACAATTACTGAATTTTCCAAATGAAAACCTCAAATATTCTTTGATTAAAAAAAAAAATTAAATAATTTTAAAAAATTGTCATTTCAAAATCACTAGTTTTAAGGTTTAAATCTTTTTTTTTTTAATTTACTACCAGCAAGAATAACCCTTCCCCCCCCAAAGAAACAGAGCAATAACTTACTTTTTCAAGCAATAAGGTGATAAGTAGCTTAAATGTCACTCGTTCTGATGCTTAACATCTACATTTCAGTAAAAACAGGGAACTGTTGCATTTCTGATTCACAATACACGAACTTAATACTCAACCAAAACAGTTAGCAGTGATGATTTTAGTGGTATTTAGATCAAACATATTAGAACAATCTGTCTTAAACTTCTAATATAAACTCACAGTAGATTAAATTGCTTACTTTAATTCTGCATCTTTGAGGCTATCCTCTTGCAGGATTCTCACTTTTGGGTCTTGAGCTCAAGAGAACTTTGGAGCAGAATTCCCACTCTTATCTTTAAAGAATATACAATGTGCTTTTCCTATGGTGTGCATCTGTATTTCTAAAAGCATTCTGGGTTTTCTCTTTTGGGATGCCAGGAATCGCTAATCTGAGGCTCATCGTACTTGGCATCATCTAAACAAGCTCATGAAAGCACAGATAAGACCCTTGAGAGTGGAAGTCACTGTATTTCTTTGTAACTTTTTCAAATGCTTCATTCTAGATCCCTGTTCCCAGGGCCCAGGACTTTGGGGGATTATTTCTGGCATATTGGGAGATAGCATGTGGCCCACTGTAGGTTTTGGCCATGATGAGTTAGAGAGGTTCTTTTCACTGCTTTTTCTGACCCTGCAAAGGAGCCATGTCTCAATGTCTTAAGCCAAAGAGAGTGAACAGGAGGTCTGCCACTACCCCACTCCCAGATGTTTGTCTTTGGTTTTTCCCCTTTCTTAGTTCCATTTTCCCTTGAAGTCACTGCAGTCACACTCATTAAGGTAGCCTTCAGGGCCAAAACAAAGAGTCCATGGGAGCCTAGTAGAGATGGGGCTTCCCTGTCTATTTTAGGATTTTCTATAGTGCGGACTGCTTTATTATCTAAATACTTCCCAGGTAAATTAAGCTCCTTGGTGGACTTTTTTATTCTTCTACATGCCCTGGTAAAGGAAGCTCTTGTCTTGGATAACTTTTTTTCTTTCCTATGCCATTGATGGTAGAAAAGCTTTGTCCACATAGGAGGACCTTACATCATGCTCTGGATGAGTCTGACCTCCTCTGGAAGCTTATTCGCCAACATTAACCCCTCCTAAATAAGAAGCCTTTATCTCTGGCTTCTGCATGGACTGACCTGGGCTCTGTGAGCAGCATTGTCACTGAGGAGCATAATTGTCTTGTTGGGTCATCAATAGAGGTGTGGTTATTGCGTCCTGTCCTATTGATGGCAGGTGCCTTAGACTGGGAGCTGGTGGAATGATTAGAGCACAGGGGTGATGTGCCATTGGCAACCCATTCTACTGAAGGCCACAGCTACCCACAGTCTGGAGCCCTTGGCATTCCTTCCACCTTCAAACAACATACAGTGAATGGCCATAATCCAGTTTGGTGGTTGTAACGTTGACTTACCAGATAACAGGTCATGTCCGAGTGTATTCAGGCCAATTCACTTGTGTACTAGTACTGTATAGATCAAAGCAATTCTGTTAAAGGTATAAGTGTATTTGGTGTTTAAACTTTATTAAAACTAATAAAATGTCCCGTTTCTTGCATTGTTTTCAATTGTGTGTATCCTGTTATAATGCAATAGCAAACATTTACATTTAAACACCCCTGTGACTAAATAACCCATCAAAGAAGTCTTGTGGAATGCTAATAAAGGTCTTTAACAGAAAGTGCTAATTTCAAAGCAAGTGGCCACTGCCTGTGATGACTGGAGGTCAATGACTCAAAGTGCATTCCTCACTCACCGGACATCAAAGGAAAAGCCCACATGGGTAGAGCATGTCAGCAGCGACTATAAATATATGGATTCTAGGAAAGATCCTTCATCTCTGGACTGTTTGGACTTTTACAGGGAAGTGTACCAGATGCAAAGTGGAGATCCCCAGAGACAATCTGGGTACTCTGAAAGACTTTTGGGCAACTGGCAGTTTATTCCATCACTGCCACCATTTGGAATTACAAAGTGTGACTCACCTGTTTAAAATATTTTATCAGCTTTAACCTCTCAATAACTCTCATTTCCTTTTCTTAGGGCTTGTCTACACTGGCACTTTACAGCGCTGCAACTTTCTCACCCAGGGGTGTGAAAAAACTCCCTCCTGAGTGCTGCGATTTTCAGCGCTATAATGTGCCAGTATAGACAGTGCACTAGTGCTGGGAGCTATTCCCCTCATGGAGGTGGGGTGGTTTTTTTTTTTTAGTTTTTTTTTTTAAAGAGTGCTGGATGCCGTGACTACACAAGTCACATTAAAGCGCTGCCACAGCAGTGCTTTAACGTTGCCAGTGAAGACGTGCCCTTAGCTAATAAACCTGTAGTTAGTTTTACTATAGAATTGGCTGCCAGCGTCGTCTTTGGAGTAAGATCTGGAGTACCAATTGATCTGGGATAAGTGATCAGTCTCTTGGGACTGGGAGCAACCTGATGTGGTGTGATTTTTAGCTTAAGTGACCATTATCACTAAGTTCAGTTTGTCTGGGTAGCAAGATAGACTGGAGAGCCCAAGGGGACTCTCTCTGATTCCATGGTAAGACTGTTATAGTGATCCTGGAGTTCACATTTGTTACTGGCTTGGTGAAATCTAATTATGGAACACACCACTAGCTTGGGTTGTCTGCCCTGTTTTATGATAGTCTGCCCTGAGGTAGGCACTCACGGTCCTGATCCACTCCAGACAGCGTGACAGAAGTGACAATGCATGGGTTGTTCTGACCAAGTCCTCATCTTTCTGGGGGGAAAGGGACAAAGTTTCTGAACAAGTTGGAGGGGAAATAAAGCTGGCTGGTTGCTTGGTTTTTGTTTTCGTCACTGACTCTGTGTGGCCTGCTAGGCTAATTGATGAGTTAAACAGGACTGCAAGGCTTCCCATCATTCATTCACGAACAGGGAAGGGAGCAGTCATTTTAAAAGCAGAAGACCGTGATCCAGTTAATTCTCCGTTTTTTATTTTGTTTTTTTTTCTTATGACCAGCGTGTCTTCAGTATTGCCTGGGTTCAGTTTGGGCCCAGCTACTCTTCATCCAGGAGCTAAACTCCTTTAGGCACATTGACAGCCTTGTAATGGCGATGGTTGCATCTGTGGCAAAAGAGAGAGAGCTGGGTGTCATCTGCATATTGTTGGTCTGCAGTTTGCAGGTGTAGGAGGCAGCAGTCCTCGTTTACTCTACTATTGTATGTGCTGCTGTAAGGGAGTTGAACTAGTGCTGTACAAAGTGGTAGGGCATTTGCCTTCCATCAACAGCTGCCAATTGCCCTGTGAGATGCTTCCTTGCACTGAAGAGAAATCCAGCCAGGAGCATAAATAAACCTAGCTAGCCGTTGGAGAAAATCTTTAGTCTAAAGAAAATCAAGTTGCAAGGAACTAAAATAGAGTGAACTCCTCCTGTGCTGTCACCAAACCTATATGCCTGAATTGTATCTGTTTGTTTATTGCTTATACATCTATTTGCCTGTAGTGACTGTAACTGGCTCTGAAGCTCTGTGTGATATCTATATGTGAGACTCTGTACTGTTGCACTATTTGTCTCATTTCTATTGTTTTTACACATACACTGGAAATCTGAGAATGTTTAACTAAGACACTTATGCTCAGCCATTAAACAGAGAGTGCACAATGGTTGTCTCAATAGAACTGTCGTACAGCAGCAGAGCTTGGCCTATGGCTCCTTACTGGCTTCTAGATGCTTTTCTCCTTTGGGACTTCAGTAAGATCTTGCAACAATGTTCCAAGGAAAAAATGAAAATACAGACTAACTCTAGGCTCTTCTACATTGATAGACTCATGTTGAGAAATTGGATTAAATCTTTATTTGCACTGATGGTCATAAACCATCTAGGGAAAGGGCAAATTCCTCCTGATGTTTCCTCTTCCAGAAAGTTGCCGGTGACGTAGTTATTTGCTGCTAACTATTGCTTCGTAATCTCATCCCTGGCACTTTGATATTCTAAGTATGTTTAAATGTTTTGTGGCTCTATAAATCTCTGATGACTCAAGTGATTTTGGCTGTTCAAAGGCTGAGTGCCCCGTTATATGCTATGCTGGTGTTAGAATTGTGGTTTATCTCTTAGTGGGCAACGTAAAAGAATGACTCAGGAAAAAGGAATGTGTGCCACCTGCCAGTCCCATACAAGTTTCCTGAGGTTTGTATTCCCACCTCCAGAGTAATGTGACTGCACTGCTAATCAATAAGTGAGCTGACTAATGTCAGAATAACATATGACGATCACTCTGTCAGTGCTGCCTTTTGAGGTATTTCTGTTTTACCTTGCGTATTAGAACGAAGCAAAAAACATTCTGTTTAAATACAGGCTGCCTGTTGCTCAGTGCTCCCAGCCTTGTTCCCATGAGCATAACACTAAAGCCTTATGTTTTTGGCAGGTGTGAGGAATGAAGGGAGCCTGGTTTCAGTCCTGAGAAGAGTGCCCCAATAGCCAGCTGGAGCGGGTCAGAGAAGCTCTGCAATGAGCAGACAGCTATTGCAAAGCAGGATGCAGCAGGAATATCGGAATGTTTGCGTCCTTCTGCCCAACAGAGAGCAACTCGGTGTAACCGTCGGGGTGAGTTGTTTAAAGTTTCATTCTGAGCTCTTAGTGCAAGTTTCATGGATGTTTTGTGTTGTAACTGCCAGAGCAGACCATGATAAGGCTGAGCTTAACTTTCATTGCACTTACGAGAGTACCATATTAGTTCATTGATCAAAAGACTATTAGCTGATTTAACATAATTGGTGTTTTGCTTCCTAATTGGCTAGCCTAGCAAAAATTTACAGGATGATCTGATTAATCTCCTTTATTGCATTTGATAATGAGGACCTAATTTTTAATTCCCTTTCACTCTCAAATTGTATTGTAACAAACTGAAATGAAAATCCAGCTTCTCAGAAACCTGAAATGCCTTGACCTTTGGACCTCAGTGGGCAGTGCTAATTGACATCAGCTCACCCTGCAGTTTAGCTCTGTTGATCTTTCTTTTGGAAGCTGTTCTGTAAATGGGAGTCTCTCTCACAGATTTTTTTTCTTTTTATAGTTGTTCTTTCTTTACTCCATTAAATGAGAGAGAATTGCATCTGTAGATTTCCAAGTACTTTGCAAAGTATTGTCATCCCCGTTTTTACTGTAGGGAAATCTGAAGCACAAAGAGAAGTGAAGTGACTTAAGCAAAGTCTCACTCGCTGGAGCGATTCCCAAGATGGAATGCTATCCATGATTAGATCACACTGCTGCCTTTGTAATATAGTTTATCAGGCATATGTGAGAAACTGAACCAATGCCTGAAGCTTCTTAGTCTAGCTTGCAATCTAAATTGTGAACTGTCCATTTTGGGAATGGGGGTCTGTCTGTCTCTGTAGAGTTTTTCTAGACTTTATTTTGTCTCCATTCCCTCCCCATCCCCCCAAAAAGTCTTATTTTTAATTCAAAATGTGGCTTTAGAAAACATGCACGTCAACACAGAAATATGCAAAAATCTTTACAGTCCATACAGGAATTTTCCTGCTTGCCATACTTAAATCTAGTATCCCCTAAGAAAACAGCCACAGGGCCTAGGTAGATCAAGGGATTGGTAACAGACTCTGGAGCTCGTCACTTTCAATAGTTCAAAACCAGGCCAGATAAGGTGCTTTTATTTAAGCTCTTAGAAATTTATACTGGTATGGCCACCTACCCACTATCGCAGCTGACCCTAAATATCCAACTTCTTGTTAGCTTTTAGCAGGGTGGGTGGAGATCCAACAGGAATGGAGACTGAACTACCCTCCCACCTTTGGGCATTGACTATACTAGAGGCGCTTCTCAGAAATTTCCTATTGTTGCCCCTCCAGCATTATCAATACCGGCAGCCTTAATATAGATGATCTGCTGGTGTTTCAAGCATCCTGTCATGGGTAATCCTGCACTAGGCAGGATTACGACAATGGGTATCTCCGCTCCCTAATTGCGGGGTGTGATTACAGTTTGTGTAGACATGCCTGAACTAGCTTTAATCTACCTAGCTTGGATACCAGAGCAGTGAAGCTGTGGCTTCATTATGGGCTGTACAAGTCCACCTGGAACCCTGGATAATTTCTCTGGTGGGTAGCCTACAGTGAAGCCCCTGCTAGTTAGATTGAAGGTGACTTGGGTATGTGTATACGAGCTGCAATCACACCTCATGATTGCAGGTTAGACATAACCAATGGTGCTTAAATTGGTTGTGATGTCTGGCTCCCGTGTTTAAAACTGTAGCTTGAAGCGCTTCAGGCTAATACAGTTTTAATAAGCGTAGATGGGGCCTTTAGAGTTCGGCTTTTTAGTGTAGGCAAGAATGGAAAGAATGTCAGAGGTATCGTTCCGGCCATTTATGTCTCATTTCCTGAAGCCTCTTTGAACGCCCATGTTGTTGGAAAAACTGAGGGGGATAACTGAGTGCAGCCCCTTTTGATACTTTATCTTAAAAGTGTCTAGCTCTACGTATTTGCCTTTAGAGATGTGTAAGGGTTCTGTAACTTTATATCTGTCAATAGCCTTCTAATAAGTCTTTTTTGTTTATACCTGTTTTATTGGCTAAACGGATGGGAAACTTTGTTTCCTTAATGTACTTGGATGTGTCTGCGTATGAAAGAGAATAGCTGGCTGAAGCAAAACATGAACTTTGAAAATACAGTCGGGTGCAGATTGCATAAAGGATGGAACCCAACCTTTTAGCTAAATCAGGGGCCAGTAACAAAATCCACTTTTTTTTTATATGTTGAAAAACATGTGACTTAAAAAGATCCTTCCTCTTGCAAAATGTTAAAGGAACATGGGAACAATTTTCTAGCAACCTCAGTAAGGCCTTGTCTACACTGCCACTTTACAGTGCTGAAACTTTCTTGCTCAGGGGTGAGAAAAAACACCCCCCTGAGTGATGCAAGTTTCAGTACTGTAAAGTGGCAGCGTAGACCGTACACCAGCACTGGGAGCCGCTCTCCTCATGGGGGTGGTTTTTACAGCGCTGGGAGAGCTTGCTAGTGCCACAGCTACACAGCCACGTTAAAGCGCTGCCGCCACAGCGCTTTAACATTGGTAGTGAACACATACCCTAAGACTTCAGATTTAATTAACACTACAACAGATAACATCTTCCACATTCATTGCTATAATAAGGCTACTGCTCAGGACTTGCATAGCACTTCACATTTTCGAGATATTGTGTAAACACTAAATAATCTTCACAAAAGCCCAGTGACGTAGGTAAGTGTCATTAGCTTTTCAGTAGATTGAAGTGCAGATTCTCCACTTGATAAGCAAGGGATTTATGCATATAATTTCCATTACTCCTGTTAAGAGATGCCACATATATCCTGTCCATCAAGATGAGGCTATACCTGTACATTTTATGTGATCATATTTAAATCCATGGGGTAGGATTTGTACTTTAACTATTTTTGCATATCTTTAAAAACAACACGTACATCACAATGCTAAGGGAAAAAAGAATGTGGCTTTAAAAAAGAAAATCCCTTCCCTCTCTCAGTATCAAATGTCTCCAAGTTCACATTGTTGTTAGCATCTTCCTCTTCCTTCATTATATAAAAGATTGACATTTGAGAAGATAGGTTGTAGGGACACAGTATTTCCAAAATGCTAACTCTTGAAAGGCTGCCAAGAAATCTTTAAGGAACAAAACCATAGGGAAGGATATAGGGGAACTTGCTAAGCACTCTGTGTAAATTGAAGCAAAGCGGGAGTAATCTTTCCTGAGAGGGAGGAATGTTGTTTGGGCACAGAGGCAGAGAAGGAGCACAGATGGGAAGACGTAGTCTGCACCCTGCGGCGCTTACTTAAACCGTAGACAAAACGGTACAACTTAAAATGCACTAGGTGACAGAAGAAGGTTTTAACACTGTCACTGGCTTTATTAAAAGATATTATCTGTCGTCTTAGCTCAGCAGACTCAAGCTAACAGGCTTCAGGGAAGCATGGGGGCCTAACTTCTCCATTGCCTTCCCCCTTGTGGAGATACTGACCCCCGTAAAGTGCATATAAAACACCACCGGTCTCATTTGGCAGCATTTTACACCCACTTTGAGCTGTAAAAGACTAACAAGAGGCAAAGCAGTGGAGAATTGAATCCTGTGCTTTTTGAGGAGAGGGAGAATGCACGCTCCGATACCACAGCAAGCTAGGAAAGTGAGCTCCAGGCATAAAGAATGGCTTGGCAGAACAATGCAAAGTGAGTTGTCCGGAAGAAGACATGTCAAGGGAGGGAGTATAGGAGATGAGACAAAAACTTAAGCATTACCAAAACTAAGTGCACGGCCTTGAAGATGAGAAAGATGAACTTGATACAGAAAGCGAGAGTCAGTTGAGGGATTTGAAGAGATGAGTGATGTGGATGGGGCAGCCTATGTTCACTTAAGTAGGCATTTTGATCAAGTTCCCTCTTCAAAAGTGTTCTAACACTTACTTTCACATGTTCAGTTTTAGAGAACTCAGTACATTAACAGGCTTCTGCTTCTCTGTAGTGTTTTGAATATGAAAGTATGTAAATACACTAATTATTTAAAATGTCTGTTATATTGATATAATGCATTCTAGAGTCTGCGTATGTCTGTGCACTGTATTCTTAGTTACCAGTATGCAGGGCCGGCTCCAGGGTTTTGGCCGCCCCAAGCAGCCAAAACAAAAAACAAACAAACAAACAAAAAGCCGCGATTGCGATCTGCGGCGGCAATTCGGCGGGAGGTCCTTCGCTCCCAGGCGGAGTGAGGGACCGTCCGCCGAATTGCCGCCGAATACCTGGACGTGCCGCCCTTATCCAGAGCGGCCGCCCCAAGCACCTGCTTGACAAGCTGGTGCCTGGAGCCAGCCCTGCCAGTATGCCAGCACTCTTCATTAGGATATCCCTTCCCAATGACTGGTCACAAGTAGTATGTGTGCATGCTCTATTTTGTGGGGGTGGGGAGGATGCAGACCTCAGTACACTAGCTCTTTCCTCTTGATTGCACATCATAATGAGCTAAGCAAATACCATACCTAGGAGCGTTTTCTCAACTTCAAGCCTCAGTCTCTAGTTCTAATAGGAATTGTACAGTTAACCCCACACACACCCCTACCTGTCCGTTTGACATCAGAAGGCACCCCTCTAGTGCAATTTTCATACCTCCTGGTAATGTGGTGATGACTGGCTGGCTAGTGGTACAGTGTCAGTGTTCTATAGGCAGAACTGGCTTCTGGAATGACCCCTGCCCTCCTGCTGTCCAGGCTGGAAGACACTTAATATGTCGAGAGCAGGGGTAGTGTGTTTTTTTTCCCCCCCCCCCCCCCCCCCCCCCAAGTTCCAAATTTCTTGGTCAAGGTCCAGACTCCAGAGAAACATTTTTCACACTGTAAGTGCCCCTGTTCAACAAACATGCAATGCTGTGTAATATACCCAGGGGATATTGCTTATATTTTTAGTGCATTTAAATGAAAAATAATATCAACTAGTTGGGGTTTGGTGTATTGTGAAGAATTTTTTTGTCAATCTTACGTGAATAAGTTCAACCCGGCAAGTCATTGAATCTGCACGCGGGGGGATACAGTTCTTTCCTGATGACATTAACATAGGGTGACCAGACGTCCCGATATTTTCTTGTTTGTCCCGCGTCCCGACCGATGTGCCGTCAGGACACTGGACAAACAAGGAAATGCTCCGGAGCCTGGAAGTGCTCGCGGCCCCCCCCCCCGACTCCGCGCCCTCCTCCCCCCATTGGCTCCCTCCCCGAATCCCCGCCTCTTCCCCAGGCTCACCATTCCTCTTACCTCCACAAGCGCTGGAGGGAGGCCCGGGAGACTCAGGGGAAGCGCGGGGCTGGGGTGAGTGAGAGTCCGGCCTGGCCCCGAGCAGGCAGGACTCAGTCGGGCGGTAGGGAGAGTAGGGGAGCGGCCCGTGGGGCCAGGCGGCGGCTGTTCTCCCCCCCCGGGCAGTGGGACTCGGGAGCAGCCGCTGCTGCAGCTCCCACTGCCGCGGGGGGAGGAAGCGGCCGATGGCCAAGCTCGGTGGCTGCGGCTCGGACGCCCGGGCCCGAATCCCCCGAGCCCGGGCCTGCTGCAGGGACACAGCAGCGCGCACGCTGCGCCCAGCCCCTGGCCAGTCGCGTCTGGGCTGCTGCCCAGCTGGTGCAATCCCGTGGCGGCTCCGGAGTGGGGGCATCGGCAGCCCAGCCCCATTCGTTCCCCTGCGGGACCCGAGCGGGACGGGGGGCTGGGGCCTGCTGCCCCCACTCCGGGGCCGCCGCGGGATAGCACCAGCTGGGCAGCAGCCATTGTCTCCATTTCACTAGCTTTGAAATTGAACAATTTCTTGTGATGTTTTTGATTTTTAAAATCAAAACACCGTATAGAAGTCTTCTCATTTAATGAAAATCTGAGTTTTTCAGTAACCAAATGTTTTTCATAACCATTTCATTAAAGTTTATGATAATATAGAATTTTGAAAAAAATAAATTGCAAAAAAATAAAGTTGAGGAAAAATCAACTTTTTTCACTTTTTTTCATCTTTCAGAGAAGACAACTTTTCAATTAAAAAACCTTTGTTCAAACATTTTTCTACGAGTTCAAATGTTTTCCTTTGTATTTTTTACTTTATTGTTCCCTGTTGTATTTATATTATCTGCCATGCATCTATTAAACCCCATGCTGATCCCACCTGCAGGATCAAGAGCCAAATAATCTGAGTTAACTGCATCAAATCTAATATGCCACAGTTTATTCAAGTGTGGTCACACTCCTGTCAAAACAAAATGTTTCACAGCTCCCTACAGCCCCTAATCTGATCCTTCTCCCTTTAAAGTCAATGGAAAAACTCTCATGGATTTCACTGATGAAGGATGAAGCTCTCAGTGAGGGCAGATTTCTGTGCTACCAGTAATTGAATAGCTTTCAGTTTTAACTGTTGAGCCTCTGACTGGTATCTCAGCTGGGAAAGGCAATGGATTGGCGCTTCAGTTCTTCTCTCTCATAGGGCTGGGTGGTAAAACAGACACAGTGTGACTCTGATACTGAAAGAAACTCCCTGAAAGTGACAAGACACTGAAACTCTCACTCTGTCCCCACAAAACCAGAACAGAGTGGGGACAGTGATCTCAGAAAGAGGGTGGGGAATAGGTCAGTGATCAGAGGGTGACTGAAATGACCAAGAAAAGCAGCTGCTTGTTCCTCAGTGAGCCTCCGACATTCCCCATTGCATGCTTGAATCATCTAGACATATAACTCCCCTATCTCCTGTCAGCTCCCTGCCCGCTCCACCCAGAGAAGCTCCCGCTGCCCCAGCCGCCAGCGCCTGCTCAGCTCATTCACCCTGCACTGCTACCAGCCAGTGGAGGACAGAGCTGGTGAGGCTGGAGCTGCACAAGCAGCCACCCGGGGACACACTGCGCCCTGCAGCTCGCTCGCCCTTCGTTGGGGAGTGGTCACAGCTCCACACGTGCAGCCCCGGCTCTGCTTCAGCCCATTTGACCTTTACGGTCCATTCAGAAGCGTCTAGCAGTCTGGATTTAGCCTGTGCTCTGCCTATTGACTACCACTGTTCTAGAGGGATGCATCTGGTCTCTGGGGAACAATGATAAATACATTTGCAAGAACAGGTTTTGAAAAAAATCTACTTGCAGTGCTATTTAGAAGGCTGGCCTTAGCAATCAACTTCTGCCAAATTTTAAGTTTCTCGCCTTTATGGTTGTGAAGATAACCTTCCACGTGTGAACTGATCAGTACTATTTGCAGACAGGCAGCTCCAGTGTCTCTACTGCTGCTCATAGGTTTGCCCAGCCACTGCACAGTGAAATTAAAAAGATTCTTGATAACTTTACTGTTGCTGTTCAGATCTCCGCGGGTAATAAAATGTGGTTCTTGTCAGTTTCCTGTCATGCAGCTGCTGATTGGGAAATCTCTGACCAACAGCACATGCAGATGGGTGCTGGAGCTATTTGAGGAAGAGTACCCCCAAGAAAAGCTGCAGGAGTAGTTTAGAGTTTGGGAATAGCAGCTGGGAGTCCCCATACATGGTGTTGGGTATTACCCTCCCCTTCGCACTAATTGACCATGAAACTTTTTTTGTTGCCATTTTTCTTCCCTGCTTATCCTCCATCTCCCTTTCATATCAACCTGTGGCTAGTAGGTGTCTGGTAAACTTTGAAGCTCTTAATAAAAAAAAAAAAATCAGATCCCTGGTAGCTTATCTACAGAGCAACATTTCTGGAGGTGGCACTGTGTGTGGTGGGGAAGGGACATGAACTCTGCTGTTGGTCAGAAGTAAGATATGGTAAAGGGAACTAGCGAAGTAGCTTGATGGCATGGCATGGAATGAAGGAGTGGGCAAGAACCCCGGGTCAGTCCATGTAAGGCCACCTTGAAAATGAAGTGTTCAGTCTTTGTGGCCAAAACCATCTTCTCCACCCCTCAAAGTGTGCAATATGGGTGGTGGTGTTTTTGTTTTTTGTTGTTTCCTTCCTAGGTGAAAGTTTAAATCTGTAATTCCTCAAACCCTCCAAAAATTAATTTCTTTCTCCTTCTGAACAATGTCTTTGTTTTGCTGGCAATAAGTACAATACCGCAAGAGTTTCAGTACATGGTCGCATTTGCACAGCATGAATAGTCTAGATGACAGAGTTCCAGTCTCATTAAAAAGGATACAAATAGACTAGCACCTAAGTTCCATTGTACTGGGATAAGAGCATATACAAAGAGGGCTGGGGAGGGGGGGAAGGAGGACAGGAATACACTACAACAGTGCCTTACAGCAACCAAAAAACCCTGGCCCGAGAACTGAATTATGTGCTGTGATTCTGATCTGGCTGCCTTTGTGCCTGTTGATCACCTATGACCATGAAGAATTGTTCAGTGCCAGTATGTGTGGGCTGCCTGTAATGCTGGGTTGGTTGTTTCTTTCAGGTAAAAGCCACCGGACAGGAGCTCTTCCAGCAAGTTTGTGACTTAGTGAAGATTAAAGACCCTCACTTCTTTGGCCTCAGTATTGTTAAAAGTAAGCGAGCTCCATGCATGGAGACAAATGACTTGGCAAATGTCCACAGACACATTTGTGTATCTACAGTGTGTGTGCATATACACACACTGGCCATGCCTGAGTGGGAACTTCATTGTAATAAGATCACAAACTATGTAAATTATCCAAAGCCTTGTCAGAGTCCTTTGATCTTTAGTCCTTGAGCAGACATATTTGAGGGGGGTGGGGCAGGTATATTTAACCTTGTTCTACTCTGTTTTTCTATAACTATGTTGTTTGCTGACATTTTTGCCATTGATTGAATTTAAAGTGTCAGTTGTTGCACAGAAGATGAAATTTTAAATGACTTTGGGGCTAGAAGTATTACATACCTTCCTAAGTAATAAATTTTAAAGAATGTGGTTCTCGTTAAACTCAGTGATTTGGGGCAGGTGGTGGGGGGAGAAATGAGTTTTGTGAATACTAACTGCACTTGGATGAAGTGATTTATCTGCAGAGACCTTTTGACTTAGTGGCTGTTTTTTGCAGGAGATTGCAGACCTGAATCTGCCAGGTGCTCAATGCTCTCAACTCAGGGGTTGTTCACACAAACACTTAGTTTTTCTTTGAATGATGGTCCTGACTGTATTCCACGGTGGGTGGGTTAGGCATGTGCCTGGAGCCAGAGAATTTGGAAGTAGCTCTGTTGGCTCACCTCATGACTCCATCCAAGGTCATAAAAGGTGGAGCGGATCAACCCCTTCTTCGATTCCTTCTCACAGCTGGATGATCTGGATCAGAACCTCCAGTGTCCGTAACTTCAGCTTCGTCCTACAAAATAAGAATTGGATTTAGTTTTGTAAATGGTTTTAACATTTTTTATGGGTTATTTTTTAATAGTCTTCAGTATAGTGTCTTATAGATTTAGTCTCTTGGGAGAATACCCTCGCTTTCTGCCTGTGATCCTTCTTAGTCAGCAATGGCCACCAGCACTGCCTTGGGGAAGCCCACATCATGTTGAGGTGTGGTATCTGCTGATTGCTCCCCAGCTATACCTGAAAAGGGCAGGAACTTCATTTCTGCAAATACCATGTGGAGAAGGCCAGGAGGCCCCCAGCAGACACAGGCTGGGGAACCCCCCTGTACATCTGCCTGATTCAGCATGGAGCATGCCTCCTGCAGTGAAGTCCAACTCTAGTGCAGGAAACTCTCTCTGAATCTCCCACCCCACCCTCCGGCAGGATCTTGTTGGGAATCTAGGAAGCACTCTCATAAGCATGAGACTTAAGTGTTCCTCTAAATTCACTTCAGAGAAGCCTGATTCAGCTCTAAGCAAGCCCATCAGCTCGGCCCATGAGGCGTTAGGGCATATTAAGTCCGAGAGGCACAACAAGAAAGCCCATAAGCATTGGGCTATATTGGTACCAGAACATGATCCATTGCTGTTGTCATCCTTGGCACCTCCCAAACCCCGTGATTCATTGGTACTGATGAAGTCCAATCATTGTCAGTTTCAGGCATGGTCTTCCTCGATTGCTGCAGTAGTTCAAACAAGTAGAACCCCTCTTGCGCTGGGGAGAACTGAATCCCTTGCTGCTCCATAGAATACTTTGTCATCTGCATCCAGAATCCCCTCCTCCATCTCCAGAGAGAGAACACCACCACCAAAGGAGTTGACCACTGAAAGGGAGTTTGTTGCCTGTCCCATATGCAGAATACAACTCCCCTGCGAAAGCACTGACAGTACTACCATTACAACCGGAATTAGCCCTTTTTCACCTATCCTATGTATCCTCCACCACCCAAAAGACCTGCACTTGTTTGGGGCCAACCTCCACCTCATCCAATACGGCAGTGGTTCTCAAAGCCGGTCTGCCGCTTATTCAGGGAAAGCTCCTGGCAGGCCGGGCTGGTTTGTTTACCTGCCGCATCCGCAGGTTGCGGCCGAATGCAGCTCCCACTGGCCGCGGTTCGCTGCTCCAGGCCAATGGGGGCTGCAGGAAGGGCGGCCAGCACATCCCTCAGCCTGCGCCGCTTACTGAGGCAGGTAAACAAACCGGGTCCGGCCCGCCAGGGGCTTTCCCTGAACAAGCGGCAGACCAGCTTTGAGAACCACTGCAATACGGAGCTGTTGGTACCCCATGCCATGGGGTCCCTGTGACCATCTTTTGACCACTCCTACTGGGGTCCTTGGGACCAGTACCCCCCTGCAGAGTTGATCCGATCAGCTAAGGGAGTCACCATTTGCCTCCCCTCTAAGGGGATGCTCAGATCTGCCCCCGGATCTTACGGTGGTGGAGGAACATTACACACTGGATCCAGTGGTTCTACCAGAACCAGTAAGACTACCGTCTTCATCTCTGAACAAAGTGGGTGATTCCTACGTCTCCTTCTTCCCACAATGATTTCAGACAGTTCCAGGATCATCTTCACAGAGTTGCTGGAGAACTTCAAGAGGTCCAGGACTCCCATGCAAATTCTTAGACACTCATCCAGCAGAATAGCTCTCCCCATTAATGAGGCCATATTGGAGTCAGCTAGGACAGTTTGGCACACCCCAGCCGCCTGCACTCCCACCCCCAAAAGGGCAGAGAAGCTTTATGTGCTGGCCAAAAGAGCAGAATTTTTGTTTTCTCACCCCGCTCCCAACTCACTGGTGGTTGAGGCTGTTTCTGAAAGGGCTAAACAGCAACATCCCAGGTCTGCGCTTACCAATAAAGAGGTCAAATGCCTGTATCCGTTGAGGAGAAAGGTCTTCTAGCCTCTAGTTCAGGATAGCCAATTACCAGGCACCAATGGCTAAATATGATTTCCTGAACGACTCCATGTTTGCAGAGTTGACTGACAGCCTTTCCCAGCAGGACAGAGCCTGTTTCCAAGCTCTGACAGACGAAGGCAAAGTGATAGCTAAGACCACTCTCCAATCCGCCGTCGATGCCACTGATACTTCCTCTAGAGCTATGGCTATTGCCATTGTCCTGTGCAGGGAGTCATGGCTCCATGTGTCAGAGTTCCCTGGGGAGGTCCAGAATACCATCCAGGACCTCTCCTTTGATGAATCGCAGCTCTTCAGCCAGAAGACAGACCAGTTTCTCCATGCCCTAAAGGACTCTAGGGCTACCCTCCACTCACTGGGGATATATACGAACACATCTGCCCCTAAGAGGAAGTTTCGCCACCTATCATTCAGACCTAGGCGTATGGCTCAGCAGTTTTCCATCAGAGACCCTATGAACCACCACGCAAGAGACGGTGTTCAAAAGAGCTGCTTCCCCACACTCTCTGCAACAGTCTCTGCATCTCAATCTCAGCCCCCGTCTCGACATTATTTTTGAATGGGAGCTCAAGAGTTGCAAAATACTAAGCCCAACACTTCCCAACTCCCACCCACCATTTGTGGGTTGTTTAGCACTCCTCCCTCCCCCCCCCAACATTGGGAGTGCAGTAACAATGGACAAGTGGGTACTGAACGTCCTCTATTCTGACTATAAGATAGAGTTTGCGTCCCTATGTCCTCCCTCCTCTTCGGGGACCGCTCTCAGGAGAATAACAGCTGTGGGCTCCCTATTGCAGCAAGGAGTGATAGAACTTGTCCCTCCTCAATACCAAGGGAACAGGTTTTACTCAACTTACTTCCTGGTACTCAAAAAGAAGGGTGTATGGGGACCAATCCTTGACCTCTGCCATCTCAACTGCTTCATTCACAAACTCAGATTTTGCATGGTTATGTTGGCATCTATAATCTCCTCTTTAGAAAAGGACATGTGGGTTACAGCTCTAGACATGAAAGATTAATCCCGCTCTCAGATACTTCCTCAGAGAATCTGACTATTTTCTCTACATTGCGCTCCCTCTCAAATAGCGACCACCGCCAGAGTCTTTACCAAGATATTCTTGGTAGTAGCAGCTCACGTCAGATGTTCTCATTGTCTTCCCCACCTCTACAAATGGCTCCTTGTTGCCAGGTCCCGCCAGGTAGCCTGTGCATCAACTTCTATGATGCTGCACTGGGAGTCAGCGTAAACACTGGAAAAAATCTGTTCTCACCTCAAAGCAATCTCTGGATTTCATTGGGGCCACCTTGAATTCTATGGTTGCAAGAGCGTACCTGCCAAGGACAGGTTGCAAACCATGATCACAAACAGCCCTCGAATACCAGTCAAGACATGTCTTTCTCTTAGGTCATGTGGCCTCCTGCACTTACGTCACCCCGTTCGCAAGACTCCACCTTCGTTACCTTCAAACGTGGCTACAGTTGGGATATTGTCCAAACTGCCACTCCATGAACTTTATGGTAACAGTTCCGGCCAAGGTACTGTTTTCCCTGCTATAGTGGACAGATCCCGATCAGGACCATTATTACTGTTGCATCCCTATTGGGTTGGGGAGCCGCATGAATAGCCATACAGCATGAGGTACCTTGACATCTCGAGAGTCCAGGATGAACATCAATATCCTGGAGTTGTGAGCTGCCTGGAAGGCCTTTCTTCTGTTCATGCACACTCGCCATGTCCTTGTGATATCAGACAACATCACGACTATCTTCTACATCAACAAGTAGGGAGGAGTGAGATCTGTCTCCCTGTGTGCAGAAGAGGTCAGCTTGTGAAACTAGTGCATCAGCAGTCGAGTCACCCTATTGGCCAAATGTGCTTGCAAAGACACATCATGGAGTGGGAGCTCCACAACTTGGTATTGTGCAATATTTTATTTTAGCTCTGTGCAGAATCCCAACCAAGGATCTGTTTGCCTCTCAAGCAAACAAGAAATGCACGACACACTGCTCCAGAGGAGCCCTAGGTCGCCACTCCCAGGGCAACACTTTTTTTTGTTTTTTCCTGGGTCGAATCAGTTCAACTATGCCTTCCCTCTGCTACCTCTCCTGTCACAAGTTCTGGGCAAAATCTGGCAGGACAGACCATGGGTCATCCTGATCACCCCCTTCTGGCCCAGGCAGCTTTGGTTTCCCAGCCTCCTATGCCTGTCCTCCAGATTACCAATCATCCTCCCAAGGTTTCCCAAGCTCCTGACCCAATGGA